GTAATCATCAAAGTTACTTTTTACTGCGTAAAACTTTTTGTTCACACGTCTGACATAGTGCTGAAAAATGAGCCCCTCATGTTGGAAGGCACTCAAAATACAACTAGGGAAGAGCTGCCTCCTCATAGTAGATTTCATCTTAATGATGTGGATGGAGTCAAGCTTTCAGGACCTTCATTTGCTGACATGGCACAATTCAAAATCAGAAGAAACAGCTGGAAACATCCATTAATGATCAGAATGTGGAATGTATGAAGTATGGAAGTCATCAAAAATGAAATGGAACTCATAAAGATCGATACACTAGGCATTACTGAGTTAAAATGGGTTGATACTGGCCATTTTAAATCAGACAATCATATGGTTTACTGTGCTGGGAATGACGAATTAAAGAGGAATGGCCACACATTCATTGTCAATAAGAACATTTCAAGGTCTATCCTGAAGTACGATGCTGTCAGTGATAGGATAATATCCATACACCTATGAGGAAGGCAAGTTAATATGACTATTATTCAAATTTGCTTACCAACGATAATGCCAAAGATGAAGAAATTGAAGATTTTTACCAACTTCTGTAGTCTGAAATTGATAAAACATGCAATCAAGATGCACTGATAATTACTGGCAATTGGAATGCGAAAGCTGGAAACAAAGATGAAGGATTTGTAGTGGGAAAATAAGGCCTTGGTGGTAGAAATGATGCTGGAGATCTCATGACAGAAATTTGCAAGACCAATGATCTATTCATTGCAAGTATGTTTTTTCAATAACATAAATGGCGACTATACAGGTGGACCTCACTGGATGAAAAACGCAAGAATCAAATCGACTACATCTGTGGAAAGAGACAATGGAAAAGCTCAAAACCATCAGTCAGAACAAGGTCAAGGGCTGACTGGGGAACAGACCATCAATTGCGCATATACAAGTTTATGTTGAAGCTGAGGAAAAGTAAAACAACTCCAAGAGAACCAAAATACAAACTTGAGTATATCCCACCTGATTTTGGAGATCAGCTCAAGAATAGATTTGATGCATTGAACGCTAATGACAGAAGACCAGAC